CACCTGGACCCTAGGAACTACACCTCGGCCATAGAAACTACACCTGGACCCTAGGAACTACACATGGGCCACAGAAAATACACCTGGGCCATAGGAACTACACCTGGACCATAGAAACTTCACCTGGGCCATAGGAACTACACCTGGACCATAGAAATTACACGTGGGCCACAGAAAATACACCTGGGCCACAGGAACTACACCTGGGCCACAGAAAATTCACCTGGACCATAGGAACTACACATGGACCCTAGGAACTACACCTGGGTCATAAAAACTACACCTTGACCATAAGAAGTACACGGGACCCTAGGAACTACACCTGGTCAATATAAACTACACCTGGACTATATGAACTACACCTGGACCATAGGAACTACACATGGGCCACAGAAAATACACTTGGGCCGTAGGAACTACACCTGGGCCATAGGAACTACACATGGGCCATAGGAACTACACATGGGCCATAGGAACTACACATGGGCCACAGGAACTACACATGGGCCACAGGAACTACACATGGGCCACAGGAACTACACATGGGCCACAGGAACTACACCTGGGCCACAGGAACTACACCTGGACCATAAGAAGTACACCGGGACCATAGGAACTACACCTGGCCAATATAAACTACACCTGGACTATATGAACTACACCTGAACCATATGAACTACACCTGGGCCATAGAAATTACACCTAGACCCTAGGAACTACACATGGGCCATAGGAACTACACCTGGACTATATGAACTACACATGGGCCACAGAAAATGCACCTAGGCCATAGGAACTACACCTGGATCATAGGAACTACACCTGACCAGCCATCCTGTGTTTGTCTGTGTCTCTTTCCTGTCCTCTGCCTGTCAAGTCACATGGCTGATCCTGAACCCGGTTCTGCTGTAGTTTTCTTCCTGTTAAAAGGGAGTTTTTCCTTTCTACTGTCGCCATCATGCTGCTCAAGATGGGAAAATGTAACAAAGGAAAAATTCCACACAATCTGCTGGCTTCATTAGATAGATTACTAATAGATTACTAATTGACATTTAATAATATATGTGAATGTTTTTAACAGTGCCCTGAGATGACTTCTGCTGTGAATTGCAGTGAATTCAAATTGATAAACACTTCAAGTTGTAAGGCAACAGAATTAAAGGTTACCATGGGGGTGAAATCCTTTGCAACCCACTGCATATGGAAAAATAAAAGTGTTGATAGCGGGAGATAAAAAAAAAGCCAGTCTGAACAGCTTTATGAATCTCCAATACAGTTGTGCTTCAGTATTTATTACCAGATAATATGAGCTGCAAGACTGAAATGGCTAGAATAAAAACACCAAGCAGCCAAAAAACATGTTTTTTTTTTTTAGAAAGCTGGCCCCTGCTACCCTCCTCCATCTTATCACAGCTCAGAGAGCTCTGTAATTGAAAAGAAGATTCAGCGAGCCTGTCCTCACAGACGGTGCATCGCATTTCTGAGACAATAATAGGATTGTGAACCTCGCCATTCAACAGCTCCCCTCAACCATTCAGAGCCCAAAGTGAAGGGAAGAGGCGAAGTTTTGCAGCGGAGCTGGAGTCTGGTGTGTTTCGGTCTGACTCAAACCTCACGTGGCACCTCGGCTCTGGCCTGATGGGAGCCAGCTCATCGCTAAGTCACACTCCTGAAGACGTGTGACTGTTCCGGCACTTTCAGAGTGACGGTTGGACTCTGAAGCCCAGAGGATGGCCTCTATAGAAGACAGGTCCTTGTTAGATATTGGGCACTTTTTTAGTCGGGACTCGGGCTGGAGCAGCGAGTGATGAGCTCAAATAGGCTGCTGACCTCAGAAAATTCAGATTTTTTTCTCAGTTTCATATCTTATACCTTCCCCCTTTTTGGCGATAGGTGATAAGCATGTATTCAAATGAATAGATATGCAGACACATGGACTGACGGGTTGGACTGAGTTTAACTGAGGCTCACCCATTAGGTAGGCAGCTATCTTGCACATGCTGGCTCCGAAGATGAAGTCCTCCAGGATGTTGGGGATCAGAGTGAAGGGCATGCAGAAGATGGCCATCATCAGGTCGCTGACCGCCAGCGACAGCAGGAAGGAGTTGGTGACGGTTCGCATGCGCTTGTTCACCATCAGGACCACAATGATCAACAGGTTGCCGAAGACGCTGAGCAGGAAGATGAGCGAGTAGAGCAGGATACGAAACGTGTCCATCTCTGTCGGAGACAAGGACAGGCAGTGGACATTAGAAGGACAGCAATCGAGACAGTGCACGCCTGAGTGTTGATGACTTCAGTTTAATTTGTTGAATAGACTGAAAATTAGTTTTTAGAGCTAAAAGAGGCAAAACATTATCTGAAAGCCAACATGAGGCTAAAGCTAAATGTATCAAAAGGCTAGCTAAAACTAAAAGTAGCCGATGCCTAGCTAAAAGCTAAAAGTTGTGAATTAATCAAAAGGACCAACATTTTAGGTGAAAGCAGCAAAAGGTTAGCTAAAAGGTAAAAGTAGCAAAACGCTAGTTAAAATGGCTATCTAAAAGCAGCCAAATTCTCACTAAAGTAGCAAGAAGCTAGCGAAAAGTATCCAAAGGCTGGTTAAAAGCTATAAGTAGCAAGTGACCAGGTAAAGTTCGCAAAAGGTTAGCTGACAGCTAAAAATAGCAGAAAAACTAAAAGTAGCAAAATGGTAGCAAAAGCTAAACCAAAATTAAAAGATTTGCTGAAATTATAAAAAGGTTAGCTAGAAGCTAGAAGTGCCAAAAGGCTGGCTAAGAGTAGCTCACAACTAAAAATAGCAAAAAATTAGCTAAAAACAAAGTATCGTAGCTAAAAGCCTAGAGTAGCAACTTCTTAGCTAGGAGAATGCTACACAAAACGGCAAAGGCCAGCTGAAGGCTAAAAGTAACTAAAGGGTTGCTAAAAGTCACAGAAATCTAGGTGAAAGCTAAATGTAGCTATTTTAAAGTAACAAAAAGATAGCTACAAGTATCCAAAGGCTAGAAAGAAGCTAAAAGTATTAAAAGGCTGGCTAACAGCTAAAAATACCAGAACAAAATAGTTATTAGCTATAAGTAACACATTTCTAATTAAAAGCTAAAAGCAGCAAAAGATTAGCTAAAAAAACAAAGGTTACACAAAGCTAAAAGCCAAAAAGAGCTAGCTGAGTAGCACAATGACAGCTAAAAACCAATCGGTGTGCAAAAGTAGATTTTTTTTTTTTATCCCTTATGAAACAGAAAAACATGGAAGAACTGGTAAAAGTCCTCCAAAGGATACAAATAAAGTGAACTAATTGAGAAAACATTTTCTGTATCTTTATGCAAAAGTGATTTCTTATCATATAAGCATTTTATATCCAAAAGACACACGAGATAATAAACTGAAATGATGGGAACTTCAAAAAGACCATTAGACAACTTTCAAAAGTGAGGAAGACGAGCAAAATCAACCAGGGAAATAAGCCTCAAAGACCCAAAGTCTGTAACAGGAAAGAATAATTTGGTGGAAACAACATCTTAAATTTTTCTTCTGTCAGTGCTTTCCCTGTGAGCAAAAGCAATAATCGTAACGATCCCCCCCCAAAAAACACAATGAAGACAAATCATATAATCAGAGAAGTCTTGTCGTTCACAAGGGGAACATAGTATAAAAATGATATGGGTTTTGTACATTTACAACAGAAACAGGTTATTTGTGCCAGAATATCCAGACATCTTCATAGACCAAGAAAGAAACCTTTGCTTCCAAGGCGACACCTTCAAGTTCAATGAGATTTCTATTTACCTACATCGGGGGTATACAATCCTGGTCCTCGAGGGCCACTACCCTACACGTTTTACTTGTTTACCTGCTACAAAACACCTGATTCAATGATTAAATCACACCTTGATGTCCTGGTAATCCCCCACTGGTTCAGATCAGGTGTGTTGGAGCAGAGAAACATAAAACATGCAGGATAATGGCCCTCAAGGACCAGGACTGGACACCCAAGGCCTACAAAAACAAGCCAATTGTTTTCTGGAGAAAAGACAAAGACTGATATGTTCGGAGACGTCAAGGTGAGGCTGTTAAACCTGAGAATACTGTAAAAACTGTCAAGCATGGTGGTGGAAAAAAAAACAAGTATAAAATATAATAAAGTCCAGTTGTTTTTGTATTGAACTTTTTTGAATTTGTCATTATAACCATGTTTACGTATTGCATGATACAATGGCATGCCATACTACTACTCTGCTGCCATCTAGTGGCTGAAAGTAGTACTACTCCCTTTTTTTTCAGTCAGAATGAATGAAAACAATCATTTCTCAGCCAAAAATTGGTTTATAAATATGGAAAAAAAAATCCATAAATATGTCGCTTCGGCCTATAAGTTGCAGGGCATGTAAATTATGCAATCAAGTGTGACTTATAGGCTGAAAAATACGGTAAATACTTTATAATCTCCAGAGTCCTGGCCTGCCTGCACCATTGGGTTTACCTGCACAAGTACCCCTTTTATGACAGAAATGTGACAAATCATTGGGCACGTGTCAATGATACGTTAAACAGTTGTTAAACGCTTCCGTAACAATATGAATGCTACGCTTGTTCATTACATTTGCTTATAAGGACCAGCGCAAACTCTTCACTGCTCCTCTCCGCTGCTCTGGTATTAGACCAGTTGTCCTTAATCCCATTTATGGTGAAGAGGGACCTGAGCTGTAAGGTAAAGATACCCGTTTAATGAACGGCCTACGCTCCCACCCTCACCTAATCACAAACTTTGGGTACCAAAAGAACGAGACTGTGGATACAGGGGAGTTTTCTAAGGGTGGTGGACTCTTGTACAGATAACGTGAGAAGTTCAATAACTTCTAATTGCTCAAAAACAATGTTTGTTTTTATGTTTATGGGGTTCTAATAATCCTAAATAGCTTGGGGAAATAAAAAATGCACACCAAGTAAAAATTGGGGATGTAAGAAGATAAAACCGTTTATTCAAGGGGGTCAGCAGGGGGCCCACCTGATTTTTTGTAGGATGGTTAGACCTGAACTAAAGTTGCATAGGATGCGATGATAAAACGGCAAAATACTCATTGGTAGATAGTTAAGAGGCAACCAAGGATCAACATCATACTACGGAAGGTCTCAACAGGTTTCAATCAGTTAAGATGCTTAATGCAACGTGTTTAGGCAGTGTTACGACTGACTGGTAAATAAATTCTAATAGTTTTCAACTTTAAATTAGATTTAATTTGTTTTTTTTTTTTTTATCTGAGCAACATTTCATTCATATATTTGCACCTCTCACAAAGTAATTAGAATGCAGTTCCACGTAACGTTGATTACAATCTTTCTCTTTGCGCTTTAGTCATAGCAGGGTGGTCCAGCCGAAGGGGTTCGGGGATGCTCCCTTCGCTCACACCGGCCTGTGACAGTGAGCTTGTTTGAGACTGAGAACATCTGACAGGACGAGGTCGGGGTCAGCCATGTGCTTCGCCGACTGGGTCCGCTGATTTAGGACATGTCTAAAGGTCCGCAGAAGAGCCTGCAGACTACACATCGGCTTAAAGGTAAAACACTGCTAAGACCACACGCAGAACGAAACCCCTAAGTGTGGACTTTTAAATGTCTTCGTGGCACGTTGGATGTTTTATAAAAATAGATTCTGAATCACACAACTATTTTTATGATCATCTTGTCCTCCCACGCAGAGGCAATATCTGCTGTTCATTGTGTTAAAATGAGCTAAACAAAAGAAGCATCGTGCCCACACCTGATGGGTAGTTTGAACCAAGGACATGAACAGAAAAGGAGTTTGTCTGGAATAAAATTAAACTTGTTTCTATGATTGAATAGCAAGTTGTAAAACACTTGAATAATATAAGCAATTTTATGTACCCATAAACAAATCGGGCATTTTTTGGCAGTCAGCGCAACAGTGCTGCCAAAATGAGTCGCAATGGGACTTTTTTTATTGATAATTAATAGTTTCAAATATTTCGTCTCAAAAGCCTAAAAATAGTATGTAGTTTTGTTAAAAGTTGGCGATTTATCACATGGCAACAAGCTTGTTTTTTTTTATTTTTATAAGGGCACCCATTTAAAAACTGGATGTTTATTGGTCTGAAGCGATGTCATCGGAATTCCATTATACAAAGGGATTTCCAGGTGCTATGGAAATATCGCCAATTTCCAGAAGAATTAAAAGGATTGTTTCTGAAGACATACCTGTAAGAAACTTAAAGGTAAAGTAGTAAGATTAAATGCTTTGTTTTTTTAGTTAGCAGGGACACTAGACGGCGTCTTTATGGACGCATCTTTAGGCTAACCTCGATTACGACAAAATCACGTTTTTTTTTTTTTTTTGGCACTGCAGCCTGGACTCACTCGGACTCGTTTTTCCAGCACAAGTCGTTGCACAAGTAGTTTTTAGATGACAAAGGATTCATCACTTCGATAAAATAGAAAATGTGACTTTTTAAGAGGAAACGCCATGATATATTTCAAAATAAGACCAGACGAAGATGTTTGCTAAATTTATACTTTTAGACCACAATTGTTTCAACTTCAAACTTGTCACCAACCATGAATGAGCTCTGGGTTCGTTTCAATAAGATCATCATAAGGGACTTAAATGTCCATTTAAATGGCCGAGCATCAAATGGCTAGAAAAAGACAAGTTTTAAACCTTTAAAATTGACCTTGGACTGAACCAAGTCAAAGCTGAGGGAGCACGTTTGTGTGTCAAAAAATGGACGAGCAACGCCATAAATTGTTAAAAATGGGGGAGCAGCTGCTCCACTGAGAAGGCACCTATGTCCATGTGGACTCGAGGTATGGAGCTATTGAGAAACAATGATCGTTTCCAGTGGTGGGATGTAACAAAGTACAAATACTTTGTACATTTTTCATGTATCTACATAAGTAGAGTTAAATGTGGGCACTTTCGACTTTTACTCCACTCGATTTTACATTAAGTATCTGGACTTTCTGCTACGCTACATTTCTATAATGCATTGCGTTACAAGTTACATTCACGTTGCGTTTTTTTAGATTTGTTCGTTAGTTTGAAAGTAACCAATGGCGAGAGGGGAGTTGGTGCATTGAATCACTGAAAAAGTGGGCAGGTAACGTTAGATCCGCCTTCAAGAAGAGCTGGGCCAATGACGTATATTCTAGTATACACGTCATGGAGCTCAGGCGCACCTGCAGCACCACTAACGCCCAAAATG